GTATGTGTGTGCATGAAAACATAAACTATATACTATTGTCAAAGAAGCTTCTTTCCTCTCTGTAGGAAGAGGTGACCGCATTCTGAATTCAGGTCTCATTAGAAAATCTAAGGCAGTCTTAAATCAATGCAAAGGAGGTAGACAGTAATTGCATCTGCCGCATCATATAATGACACTCATTGTCCCACTTGCCAAATGCTTGGGTTTAACTTTGATTAGCACCAAGCAGGAGTGGTTGGAGGCAGAGAGACTAGCCAGGAGGCCACCGCAATGGAAAGCAGTCAAAGTGCACTGCATCCAGTTGCTATGGCAACAGCACAGCAAAGCCATTTAGTTGTTAACTCCTCAGAGAAAAGGCAGGACAAAAATTAGTGGAAAGTTATAGTACAATTTGGATTGCAGGTATTTAACCTTGTCTCCTCCCACTCCTTTGAGTATACTCAGCACGCTCCCAGCTGACTATAACCATACACTCTCTCTTCTGGTCCAGGAGCCATATCTGAACTATTAGATTGTAGTTACTTGGGGTAGATACTTTAGAACAGCCCTTTCAAACCATAAGTGCATGCCAACCTCCTGAGAACCCAGTGGCCCAAAGCTAAATGTTGACAGTTTGAACTTACTGAGCAGCTTCTCAGGAGAAAGACCCAGAAATCTACTCCCATGAAGGACAGCCTTAGAACACTGTCACATGGCTTCACTGCATGCTGGAAAGGAATCCACGGCAAAGAGCAGAGTGTGCCTCAGCAGGCAGGTCAGAAATGGGGTATCACTTTTCTTTCTTTAACTTTCTATTTGTGATTTGAGCAAAAGTTTACAGAACAAGTTAGCATTCCACTCAACCATTTATATACATTTTGACCTGGGAACTGGAAACAAAAAGATGAGACCTATACTGTATGAGTGAATGAACAAACAAGATGAATGAATGAACTTGCCCACATGTTTATACATATAACTTAACTAAAATTAATGAATGCACACGGACTGAAAACCCATGGACAGCCAAAAGAGCAGACAGACGTATCTTGAAGAAATTGATGCCAGAGTGCTTAGAGGCAAGGATGGCAAAGCTTCCTTTTACATCGTTTGACCATGTTGTTTGGAGGGGCTAGGGAGTCAAGAGGGAACGTATCTTGAGGAAACGAGTTGTTGGCCCTAGGGCCTCAAGACCATAGTCTATAGGTACACTGAACTCGGTTGGCATATCCCGGTCCACATAGATAATGTCCTACATCTGACCTAGGTGACTAGTGACTTGGGTTCTATAAGCTCTTCTGTAGCCATCTAAGGTACAAATACTGGTATCTACCTGTCTGGAATAAAGTAGAGGGAAGAAAACCAAAACATATAGAAATAATTAGTCCAAAGGACTAACTAATTAGTTGAATCTCAGGCTCCATGACACTGAGACCTAAAGAACTAGGTTGTACTTGGGCACCACTGCTGATCACTCTAAAAGGAATCAAGTAGAAGGTTCTGGACAGAGTGGGAGAAAAGCGTGAAACAAAATTCAAAATCATAAAAAATGGCCAGTGTGTTGATCTGATAGGGTCAGATGGTCCTGAGTAAGTAACCTCCTGAACCTAGAACTAGGCTCACCCCTCTCAGTTATACAGACAGGCCTGTACAGTGAACAAAACCAAGGGAGAGGTGCTCACTGCTCAGGACAATCAGCCATGCCAGAACAGAAGAACAGCATCTTCCCAGGGACAAGGAAAGGGAAAGGAAGGGGTGGTATAGAAGGCTGAATGGAAATGAGAATCACAGGGAAGAAGTGGGATTGTAACTAAATTAATGTCATGGGAAAAAATATGCGTGGAATAATTGAGTGGAAAAGAAATTTTATCTGTAAGCTTTCACTTAAATCATGGTAAAAAAAGTTTCTTTTAAAAAGAACAATGCTGATTTTTTTAAATTTAATTTTTTTATTAAGAAAATGTATGGGTGAACAGTTTTCTCTATTACTACTTTTTCTCCCTTTAAAATGAATATTTTACTAAATATTTTTCTCAATAATGAAAACAAATGACAAATAATAACCTATTTCCTAATACTGAACCACCTTATAATTCCTGGAATGACCCCACTTGGTTTGGATTCTGCTTTCTTTTGACGTGATACTGACTTCCAGTTGCTGTTATTTCACGAGAGTTTTTGTATTGATCTTCATAAGTGAAATTCACCTCAGTTATTACTTTTCATGCTATGTCTGATTTAAAATCCATATCTTGCTTGCTTAAAGTAAAACTGAAATATTTCTCAGTCCTCCAGTATAATTCAAAGAGATTTGGAATGTTCTTTTCCTTCATGTTTGATTTTAATTCAAACTTCATTTGAAAACAATAAAAGACCAATAAAGTCACAAATATCCAGCAACAAGGGAAATGATGAAACATACTTGAATAGAATATTACACAGTTGTTTACACTGGCCTTTGATCAAACTAAGGAGCTCTGGTCACATGCATAGTGCACTACATGTTGGCCTGCTAATCAAAAGGTCAGTGGTTCAAATTCATGAGCCATTAAAAGATAGGTAGTCTCCTCCATGAAAGATTTACAACACCACAAACCTGATGGAAGGTCCCAATGAGTCAGAATCAACTCAACAGCAGTGGGAATTGTTTGTTTTATTAGACTGGGAAGGGGGTAGTTCTATGGCAAGGTTCTCATGCTACTTGACAAAAGTCCTTGTTTGTTTAGCTGTTTTTTCCTTATTCTACCATCATTTTTTTAAGGTCTATATTTCTAGGAGACTTAATGTCAGCTGCATGTGGCCTCTGGCTTCTTGTGAGAGGCAGGTATGAAAGCCTGCAGGCACTTGTGGCTTTCTCTGTGCCCTAAGTGGGAGTCAGCAAAGGGGACTTGCCAGATGTGGGTCTCTGGCCCACAGCTGGCCAGCATCTGGGCGTGCCGGAAGGGTAAAATACTGTTTTTCATTGTTTTTGTTCAAACAGTCTTCCAGTTCGTATAGCCCAAGGTTGTCCACTTGGCGTACAGAGGTAACTCGTGGTTGCTGTCAAGCTGAACACTGTGACACTGATGTGTCAAATGCAATAATGGTCACTCATGGTGGACAATGTTTGGTGGAGCTCCCCGTTGAAACAAGCTTGGAAGCAGGAGTGGCATCCACTTCCGTAAACAGCTTGCCTCTGGAAACTCTATGAACCTGAAGAAAGGATGAAAGTCACGCACGCAAGTGTCGAGGACTTTAATTCATAGGGTTGCTATGAGTCACCTATGACTCGACGGCACTTAACAACAACATATTTTTCTAAGAAGTAACTCACAATTTTTTCAAATTTATTTGCAAGATGTTCTCATGATTTCTGTGGTGCTGGATACAAGTACTGAGTATCCATCCCATGGACTGCCACAGGAACAGATTGTCTTGGGAAAGGTGCAGCCAAAATGCTCCTGGGAGGCAAATATGATGAAGCTCCATCTCTCAATGCTTTAGGCATGTTGCTATGAGAGGCTAATGCTTGGAAAGGGGCAACATGCTTGGAAAGATGAAAGGTCAGTGAAAGAGAGAAAGACCTCCAGTGGGATGGATTGAAACAATGACTACAGTAATGAGTTCAAATGTGTCAGAGATGATGAGACTGGCACAGGATAGGAGAGGGTCCAGGTCTGCTGTCCATAGGGTTGCTAGGAGTAGTGCTCAACTCAACAGCACCTATCAACAACGTTGTTTTCCAGTAAGTCAAATACATACATCTAGTAATCCCATAGGACAAATCTTCACGCCAGAACAAGAGGCAATAACATGTTAGATAGAGAAAAGATTGAAATTGTCAATAATTTCATCTTACTTAAATCTACAATCAGCATCCTTGGTACCAGCAGTCAGAAGATCAGGAGACACATAGTATTGGGGAAATTTGTTGTCAGGGACCTCTCTAAAGTCCTGAAGAGCAGTGATGTCAGTATAAATATTGAGGTGCACCTGAATGAAGATATGGCTTTTCAAATCACTTGATAAACATCTGAGAGCTGGACAAAGATGCCAGAAGGAGAACTGATGCTTTTGAGTTGTGGGGTTGGAGAAGAGTACTGAATATCCCAGGGACTGACAAAACAATATAATATGTCTTGGAGAACATGCAGCTAGAGGGCTCTTTAGAAGTTATGATGGTGTAGGTTTGTCACACATACTTTGCGCATGTTGTTAGGAGAGACTATTCTTTGGACAAGGACATTAAGCTGGGAAAGGTGGAAAATTAGTGGAAGAGAAAGAGATCCTCAATGAGACGGCTTGATAGAGTGACGGCAGCAAAGGGCTCAAGTGTCTGAGATGCTGAAGACGGTGTAGGATAGGACAGGGTTTAGATCTATTGTTTGTAGAGTTGCTATACTTGACTCAATGGCACCTAACAACAGCAACACAGGATATAGTAAAACCGTCCATAGCTTTTTGCATACTGTGCTCTTCATGGAACAGCTGCTAAGTGAAAGTTCAGCAGTTCAAACTCACCCTTGAGATAAAGATTTAGCAGTCTGCTTCTGTAAAAACATATAGCTTTGGAAACCTGATGGGATAGATCTACTGTGTCCTATAGGGTCACTTTGAGATGGAATAAACTCAGTAGCAATGGATTTGGACTTGATCTTTTTAGAAACAGATCACTAGGTCTTTTCTCCTGAAGGTCACTGCAAGGTTACACCCACAGATCTTAACAACTGAGTGCTTGGGCAGGAGGCCGTCGCTGCTACTGCTGCTGGGGAGTCGGGGAAGACCGAGGGGCCATGCGGGTGTTGGGGTGTTGGGGGAGTCCAGACCCCGCAGCCTGGCGCTTCTGCTCAGCGTGGTGGCGGCTGCTGGAGTAACAGCTGCCTTTGTTCAAAGGTCTTGTCCCTCCTGTCGCCCCAGCCCCTCACGTTGCCGCTCTCTCTCCAGTCTGCCCTCAGCTTGCCAGGCGCGGATGCGGCTGCCTGGCCTGGATTTAGGTTTCGCGCGGGAGGAGAAGAGGAGCAGCGGCGCCTGGGAGGCATGCGATGGGGAACTGCTGCTGGACGCAGTGCTTCGGGCTGCTCCGCAAGGAAGCGGGGTGGCTGCAGCGAGTAGGAGGCGGCGGAGGATCCAAGTATTTTAGAACATGCTCAAGAGGTGAGCATCTAACTATAGAGTTTGAGAATCTAGTAGAAAGTGATGAAGGAGAAAGCCCGGGAAGCAGTCATAGGCCTCTTACTGAGGAAGAAATTGTTGACCTAAGAGAGAGACGTTATGATTCTATTGCTAGGAAACAGAAAGATCTTGATATGAAAATCCAAAAGGAGTTAACCTTACAAGAAGAGAAGTTAAGAAGCTTTATACGCTGCACAGCGTGAAGCAGCCAGGGCAGCAAAGCAGTGAAGGTGCTTGAAGCAAGAAAAGCAGAGGGTTTTACAGCGATATCAACTTTCCAACAGTGGAGAATATCAAAGTTCAGGACCAGAAGATGACTTTGAATCTTGTTTGAGGAATATAAAGTCACAATATAAAGTTTTTCGAAGTAGTAGACTCTCATCTGATGCCACAGTTTTGACGCCAAATACTGAAAGCAGTTGTGATTTAATGACCAAAACAAAGTCAACTAGTGGGAATAATGACAGCACCTCCTTGGATCTGGAGTGGGAAGATGAAGAAGGAATGAATAGAATGCTTCCAATGAGAGAACGTTCCAAAACAGAGGAAGACATTCTCCGAGCTGCTCTTAGATATAGCGGCAAGAAGACTGGAAGTAATCCTACATCAGCCTCTGATGATTCCAACGGGCTAGAATGGGAGAATGATTTTGTCAGTGCTGAAATGGATGATAATGGTAATTCTGAATATTCTGGATTTGTAAATCCTGTATTAGAACTCTCTGATTCTGCCATAAAGCAATCTGATACAGATCAACAGAATCGGTAGGAAAAATTTGAGGACCATGTTTATCATTTATGACCAAATGTTAAAGTCCAACTAGAATGTATAAATGGTTATGCTGAGCCTTTTTGTGAAGGGGATGCAAGAAACCATGTTGTAAATGCTTATTAGAATGGAATAGGAATAATAGGATATATCTGAATTGCTTCAGAATTAAGTGCAATTTCATCGCCTGCCTTCTGCTTTTTAACACATTATTGATTAAAGTTATATTTACCTTCTGTTTTCTTCATAAAAAACAAAAACAAACAAAAAAAAACTGAGTGCTTAACATTGTACCATTAAGGTTCCTTATGTGTTTGCATTGGTAATGGCACAACGGTTAAGCCCTTCGCTGTTAACAAAAAAAGTCAGCAATTGGAATACACTAGATAGATACTCCCTGGAAGAAAGCTACCACAGTCTGCTTCCATAAAGATTACAGTCTTAGAAGCTCTATGGGCATGCACACCCATGTTTATTGGAGCTTTGCTCACAATAGCAAGGAGTTGGAAACAACCTAAGTGCCCATCAACAAACGAATGG